AAAACACGACAGTTGACATTTATTTCAGTATCGCTGCATAATTGAACAGTAGACTGTCTACGTTCAGGATACAGGATTCAGCTTTTGAGTGTGGTATAATGGTATAATGCTAATAGATTTTGAGCGCAGAAAGCATCACTATCTTCACGAATTTCATTTTAAGGACGCGTTTATTTGTAGTCAGAAGATAAAAATAGTGCCATTCATCGGACAGGTGAATGAACAGTTTCGTTTTGTGATGAGGATTTTCGTCACGCAAGTAGTCCCTGGAGACTAAGACAGAATGACGTCAATCCAGCAATCTCCGGCCAGTTTTCATCTTTCATCCATCGGTTTCGGCGATCATTATGACGGGCGTTCCCCAAACAGTAGCGTAAACGGCGTATTGTACAAAAAAATCACTCCGAGAAAGAAAATTGACAAGTTCGGGTTAGACCAGACGGACTACACGTCGTTCGTTCTGTCCAGCACCGTTTTCCCGACAGCCGTCCGTACAACTCTGTTGGGGGACATGCAGGTGGCCGGCCCCCACACATGTGGATTTGACATCGTGGAAAGACCAAAACCTGACGACTCCGTGTCTGTCAAAAGTGCGTCTGTCTTCCCCGTGCCTCCACCAACAACGGTGGATGAGTCACGCCAGGAGAGTCTCCAGTCGTATCCAGTTGTCTCCTTTATCCACACTTCCGGGGCGGCTCCACCCGCTCGGGAGCGACATCTCAGCACCACGAGTAAGGTCACGGTCAACAGTAAGTCACTCAGCGAGCCTCTGCGCGAGGATGAAAACTCGCTGAGTGGTGGTCCCAACAACAATGATGAAGCTGACGATGGAGGACCCTATCAGAGCCAAACTGCGTCGGAGACCGACGCTATGTGTCATGGGAGACGGGATGTCCGGACCTCGTGCGACAGTGGGGATGGTCGTGACGGACTAGAACCAAAGAGGGAAAGTTTGGCGAGGATAAGAGACAGGTTGGAGAGAGAGAAGAGAAGCAGGTCGTTACCCTCTAGCAAGATGGCTGCGTCTTCAAAGGCTGTGCCAAAAGTCAATAGTTTCACCACGTGAGTGTATACCATTTTCTTTTAATGTTTGTGTCGTAAGCATATTCGTCAGTCTTTTAAAAAATCTTATTTGCATCACCATCATCACCACCACCACCATCATCATCATCATCATCATCATCATCTTCATCATCATCATCATCATCATCATCATCATCATCATCATCATCATCATCGCCATCGTCATCATCATCATCATCATGATCCCAACATTTATCTACAGATAAATATTTAAAAATGAGTGCAGCAGCTGCAGCAACAACGACAATAACAGTCTGGGTTTTTTTTTTAATTTACTTTGTCATTGTTTAAAAAGGTAAGTGTCCTGTTGTTTTAACCTACTATGGGTTGAAGTTTGACTTTCGCTTCTTTTCTCAATTCGAAAGAACAGAGCATTGAGTTGTTGTTTTTTTAATCTGACAAAGTTAAAGTTATTTTATTTGGTGAATACATATACTTTATGAATGTTGTTCCAAACAATTCTGACTTCTCGCTTTGCAAAACGGATTATTTACCATAATCAAAGCTAGAACTATAGCTGCGTGAATAAAGAATACATGTATATCAGTATAATCTGAGCCACACGTGTAGGGATTTGTTCCAACATTCTCTTTTTTACCAGCGTTCTTCATTTGTCCCTATCAATAAATAAATATCAGGACGTTCTTTATAATACATTAGAGATTAAATTACGATCAAGTGTAAACAAGCCCTGGCTGTTGGCGTCTCATTTAATGGTCAGAAACTTAAATTACAATAACAGTACTGCGTCATCCGTTAATTTGCTATTTTAAGGGTAATTTAGTGATCAAATATACGAAACATACGTCTTATCAAGAAAGAAATATGTGGTTCAAAAGACATGCTGTCTCCTTTTCTACTGTCGCTATTAAATTTGTTTATTGTTTTCACTGAATAGGCTTCAAAACAATATAATGTATAATATGTTCAGACCATCTAATCATAAAGATTTCAGGTCATTCGTGGTCCCGTGGTTAAGAAGCACATCTCTGAATCTACAGTTCCTTAGTTTGATCCCTGTGACTACCACCATGGAATTTATTTCAGATCATTTTCAGGCAAACGAGTAGTGTCTTCGACACAGACGAGCGTCTAAAACATAGGTGGTGTATTTCGATAAAATTACAGTATACCCCCTTCCCACCCCCCTTCGATTGATATCTAACTGCATGACCCTACATAATCTAGTAGAAATATGAGGGATCACTTGTAGGGTCACTGTGGGGTTGCAGCCAAGGCGAACGAGAACAGCAAACAGCACAATGTGATCGTTTAGGTACGCGAAGACACGGTGAGATATGGTTTACCTGTGTTTCTTAAAAATCCATGTTTATCTGTGTTGAAAGTGGACATTAAACATAGCCATAACCGGTGTAGCTTTTCTGTGTTGCACTATTTCAGGATCGAAGGCGTACGTCTCATCAAGTACCACTGGGTGAGTCGAGACACGCGAGACGCTGATGAGGCCAAGAACTCTACGGACATCCGTGACACCATGTATCTGAACACGTTTTTCCCGGACGAGCGGCCCGTCAGGTGAGGCGTTTGATACATTACATCCCTTCTTTGGTGAAAGCATCATCATCATCATCATCATCATCATCATCATTGCCTTTCTCACCATTCACCAGGGTATAGGCCACGGACAAACACATTCCACCTTTCTCTATCCTGGGCTAGCCTCTTGATGTTATTCCATGTCTTCTCACTTTTCTGTACATCGATTTCTGTATTGTTAAAGCAACAATGCCTATTTATAGACTGCTCAGTGTAAGACTACGGTTATACGTCATTCTTCAAAATGGTTTGTTGCAGTCTTACACTAGGCAGTTGATATAACTTTTAAAGCTCTGCGTTTTGTATTAAAGAAAGTAATTGATGATATGTTACGCTCCCATCGATACAATAGAGCATTTACGAGGTGGGTTGTTTAGATAACTTCTGTCAGTGCCAACCTGCGCTGAGAGGGATACAACTTTCAAGCAGACCGTCGAGGACACTTGGTGGAGAAACAGCAGTGGACAATAAAATAAACCTCCCTACTTGAGAATCAAACTCATGATTTTGTGTACACCGATAGGGAGCCTATTGATTAAACTACACATATTTATCCGTTGATTAACTAAGTTAGCCAAACCTAACAAAACTTTTTTTTTAATCAAATAGATTTCACAAATGAAAAAGCATTTGCTTCAATGAATGTTTTCTTTGGAAAAAAGTATCACCAAGAAATGCATAATCCATACGCTCTAAGTGTTGACGTTAACAGATGACCGGGGTCCCTGGTGTAGTGGTCAAGTTATTGGTCATTTCACTCAGAAGGCGTGGGGTCTGTTTTCTGGCGTGGAAGTTATCTGGTCCAGTATCGCTGTCGGCTGTAGCCTACCCTGTCTGGGTTAGCTCCTCCAGGCTGAGTCGAAACATCCGTCCCCTGAATACATCTTTTTTGTGTCATTAGACGCGGGTGTAAAACATTTCCAACTATTTTTACTATAAATATAGATTTGAAGCGCGTAGAGTTTGCTATTGAGCGGGAATTTGCGTTATACAAATGCAATCTATTAATACTATTTATTTAATAGATATCACTAAAAACGTTGGGAAACCACTAAAAATCAGTTATCGCCGGGTGTCATATTGTTTCAAAGTTCTGAACAATACTTTACACAGTCGTCTTTTTGTTCGCCTGTTTCCTATTTGTACCAACAGTCTTGCGTCTGTACCGTGAGGAAACCTTGTGTGTGAGGCAAGTGTGAAACTACAAAACGAGAGTATTTTTTCTAAAATCTGGAATGTTGTCCTAATTTAAAGAAATTAAACAACAAGAGACAGGAACGGATGGAGCAAAATGCGATCCAAGCTCTCCATGTCAATCTGTACAAAAACAAAGCTATTAAAGCTTTCTGAAACATCTTCAAATCAAGATTTTTGAATCGCAATGATCAAGCAATCACAAAAATGTCGAACGATCTTAAATGGCTGTTTGAGCGTGTTCTTAGACAAAGCGCTTTATCCCAGGCTCGGTATATCGCAGAATATCAACAGCAAGTGGCAATAACATTATGTGTGTGTGTGAGCGTTTGTGTATAAGTGCGGGTGAACCTGTATTGTGTATGTGTGAGTGAGTGTGTGTGTGCGGGTGAACCTGTATTGTATATTTGTGAGCGCTTATGTACAAGTTAGTGTGATCCTTTATATGTGTATTTGTGAGAGCGCGCGCGTGTGCGTGTGTGTGTTTGTGTGTGTGTGTGAGAGAGAGGGAGAGAGAGAGAGAGAGAGAGAGAGAGAGAGAGAGAATTAAGACCTAAATGTGACACCTCCAACCACCCGTAGCACAACATATGAAAAGGAAGGCTCAGTCCAAACCTGCTCTGAAGGCCATATGTCTAAGAAAATTACCCGTACAAACCACTACCACCCCCCACCCCCTCCCTACCAACTTAACCCCTGTCGTTTAAAAAAAAATCACAATGATACTGTAAAAGACGCCCACCTTTTTAAGACAACAGCTATTCTCCTCAACAATGTACATCCGACTGGGACAATATCTATCGTTTTGTAGAAGTTATTGGTTTCGTGTAACCTTAAGCTACGCGTTACGGAAACTGACCTGGTTTCTGACATCGTCCCATCAACTCCCAGTATGTAACACAGTGACGAAATACGGGCCTTTTATTGCACTAAAGCAGGGGTTACCAAACTTAAATGTCCTATTATCATAGGGAGCAGAATTTGTTACGGATAACGCACTTCACGAGGAAGATATTGAACTCCCGTTTCTGCGTGCAACGGTGAGGGAGGGGGCAAATCATTACAGCACAGACAAGAAGAAGAAGAAGAAGAAGAAGAAGAAGAAGAAGAAGAAGAAGAAGAAGAAGAAGAAGAAGAAGAAGAAGAAGAAGAAGAAGAAGAAGAAG